CTCTCTCTCTCTCTCTCTCTCTCTCTCTCTCTCTCTCTCTCTCTCTCAGCTGCCTCTAGGGCTTACACCTTCCCCATCTAAGCTCATCTCTCTCCCAAGAAATGGAGCCTCAGCTCACGTGTCTGGGTCAAAAGGGTCCCCATTGACCCAGTGGAAGTCGTCCCCAACTCTGCGCAGGCCGATCCAGGGCTCCCTCCGTGTGAACTTGAACATAAAGTCCTGCAAAGGGAAAGAGAGAAACCCAGGCATGGAGTGCAGCTTTGCCACTGGGCGTGGCTCTAGCCAACGCTGGGACTGGGAGGTACGAAGAGGGTGTGTCGCTTTGCTGGGAGGATGAGGATCCTGGGCCGTCACGCTACTGGAGTGAGACTGGAACAGCTTTCCGAGCGTGCCACCGATGTCCAGAATAGCCTGAAAAGGGTTCCATCCTCCAGCTTGCCTGGGCTAAGAAGCTGGGAGTTTAGGGGTGGCCCGCTGGATATGTTAGATTCCTGGCCACAGCTCTCCCCCCCCCCCCCACCCCACCCATAGGTTATCCCACCTGTACTTCTGGAACTTTCTCAAAAAGTGACACAGAAGTACTGCCCTTCACAGACTAACAGAAGTTGATTTCTTAGAAGTATGCAGCACTGTGTCACAGAGTTCAAAATGACCAAGAGACTGGGGGATTCTGTCTCTTTAACCTTTCTGTTGGCAAAACAGCTGGACCTATTAACTGAGAGATGGCAACTTGGTTTCAACGGTAGGAAATGAGGATGCGTTTTATGTTGTACCAGTGTGTTCAAAACCTCGAATTCATCCTCTTCAGACTGGGTTAGCTCAGGCAAGCAGCCTTGGATGGTGGCCTGGAGGAGGGGGGTTCGAGTGTTCAGACCCAGGGGCTTCACCTGTATACCCACGGCTGTGAGGTGGCTGAGTGACTGGAGACAGGCACACAGCGGGACACTCTACTTGGATGTGGATGTCCCATTAGAGACGGCCATGGGCCTGGGGGTCCCTGCTTCTGACTCTGTGCTCACCAGTTCTTTCTGGCTTTGGATCACGGCCAGCGCTGCCTCGTGGGTATGGCAGTACTGCCTTCCCGTATTCCAGTCTCTAGGCTCCTCCGAGAAGTAGTAGCATTTCCTTCCGTAGAGCAGCCAGTCCTCCGGGCAGGGCGTCTCACACTTGATGCAGCCCTTGGAAGCTTGAGGAGGGGGAAGTGGCTGAGGTCCGTGAGTGTGCCAACCCACCGCCATGTTCCCAGCATGCCTCAGTCCTCTTCCCACAGCTCCATCTCTCTGCACCTCAACACCCTTCAGAGACACTGCTGATGTCTCTGTGCCCCGGGAGGTCTCCAGATGAAATGGACAAGAAGAGGAGCCCCGAGGAAGCTGGCCAGGGTGTCACCATGGGGGACAGTACAGGGGAAAACACAAGGTAAGATCTCTCCTAACCCTAGAAACTCAGACCGGGAACGGACCGGAAAGCCACATGTCGGCTGCCAGGGTGGGCCTGGCAGGACAGCATGCTACTCCCATAACCAGGCTGTCTCACTGGCTAGCTCCATAACCCTGCCTCTCACTGAACTTCTGGAAAGTTCCTTCTAAGATTTGAGTCCTAAGCCAGGGAGATAGCTCAGTGAGTAAAGACACCCCAAGCCTGACAACCGGAGCCGCATCCCTGGAACCCACAAAGTGAGAGAACGAACTCCTGCAAATTGTACCTGAATTCTACACTGTGACCCCACCACTAAATATAAGTGTGTGCGTGTGTGTGTGTGTGTGTGTTTAATTGGGGATGGAGAGATGGCCTGAGGTTAAGAGAGCTTGCTGTTCTTCCAAACAATCTGGGTTCAATTCCCAGCACTTACATGGCAGCTCAAACTTGTCTACAACTCCAGTTCTAGGGATCCCCATTCCATCTTCAGGAATCTGTAGCGCACAGATACACATAGACACACAGATACACACTCACACACAAAGACATACACAGACACACACACAGACATACATATACCCACAGACATGCACACAGATATACACACAGACACACTGACAGACACACTCACACACAGAGAGACATTCACAGACACATACAAACACAGATGTACACACAGACACACTCATATACACACAGACATTCTTACATTCACACAGACACATATGCAGACACACACTCACACATACACACACAGAGACACACAGCCATACATACAGACACACATGCACACAGACAGACACACACACAAAGACATACACACGGAGAGAAACACAGACACACAGTCTCTCTTTCCAGAAAACCATTCTGAATGTCCATCAATCCTCCAAGAACTCTCTCATGTGCTTACTTATACTCTGGGTTAATCCAAAACCAGTAGTTGTTTGTATAGCTTTGTTCTATATGTATCTCTGTCTCTTGGGCTCATTTGAGGTAAGACCTCAATGTGTAAACCAGGCTGGCCTCAAAACCACAGAGATCTGCTTGCCTCTGCCTTCCAAGTTCACGAGCCACAATGTCTGGCTCATTTGAAGCTTTGAAGGTAAGTTTTAGTTTGGGATTTTGACATAGTCTCATGTAGCCAAAGCTGACTTCTAATTTTCTAAGGCTGGCCTTGAACTCCTGATCCTCCCAAATATACACCTCCAGTCCTGGGGTGACAGGAGTGTGCCATTATGCAGTTTAAAGGTAAAGTTTAACCTTGACTGTTTTCCCTATTCATCGTATGAAGTTATGTTAACTTTGAATTCCATGAGCATGTGTTTGGTTTTTTTCTTCATACAAATCAATAATTAAAATACTGAGTAAGATAGGGCCAAGAGTATACTATATTACCCAAGGAGCTTCAGTGTCCTGGGGACCTACTGCCCCATGGACAGACTCACTACTGGACACTCTCAGGGCACACCTACTCACTGACTCAGGTCTACTTGGGAGTACTGGCTGTGGTGTGGCTACCTCCCTAGGTTCTCCTGAGAGACCGATGAAGTTTATAGAAGAACCAAACCAGTGTCCACACATTCCCTGACCTCCTGACTCAGGACAAGAATGAAGGGAAAGTAGCCTTCTTTATTCTAGGCAAAGTTGATCTGGTCCAGTGGCTTCTCAGTCTATTTTCGAACATACTCAGGTCCTCTGCTTATCAAACAAGCTGGACAAGAGAGGCCGAGGTAGAAACTGATAGTGTCGGTGGAATTCCACCATTTTAATGAGGCTGCCTACTCCTGAGCCAACTGCTTTCCAAAGGTAGAGGAGCCTGGAAAGATGTCTCAGCGGTTAAAAGCACTGGCTGCTCTTGCTGAGAGCCTGAGTTTGCTTCCCAGCATCCTCATCAGCATGTAGAATAATAAAAAGTTTCACATCCTTCAAGGTTGAAGATAGGAGGGTGTGGATGCAGTTGATAGGTGCTTGCCTAGCATGGGGCCCTGAGTGCCCAGCATTCCATAGCCGGGGGGTGGTGGCACACAGTAGGACATACCTTAGATGGCACGGGATATCTTTAATCTCAGCACTAGGAGGTAAAAACAGTCAGTCTAGGAGGTCAGGGTCAGGCTCAACAACAACACAGGGAATTCAAGGCCAAACATGAGCTACATCAGAGCCTTTCCCCAAAACTCAAAAATAGAGAAACAAATCAAAACAAAACAAAAACCTGCCATCACTTCTACAAACTCCACAGAGGCCAAGACACAGTTCCAGAAGTTTCTCACGGTCAGTCAAATCCCGGTTCAGAGCCTCCAAAGTCCTGCCTGCCTCTGGAGTCCAGTACCAGACAGTCCTCCATACTTGCAAGCCTTTCCCCTTAAAATGTTTCCTGTGTAGCAACCAGAGTATTCCACACCAAAGTATGCCACTTTGGCATAAGGGTTACCTTGAGCTAAATACAGCTGAGAATCAACAGGGGAAGCTCCCTCTCCCTCCCACCCCATCCCCCACCTACCTACCCTTCCCTAGCCCACCAACAGCACTTAGTCTAGGATTTTATATGTAGCAAGGCTCAATAAGTGTTAGTTGAATAAATGTGACATTTAAAGTCTCATATCTCCAAATTATCACCTCTGAGAAGCATTGCCTGCCTAGCGTGGCCAGCTCCTCATGCCCACAGCATTTATGAACTAGCTCCTCGGTACCACTACTTCCTGTGTGGACAGTGAAGGGGGTGTTCACGGTCCACATGGGACTGTATTATTTTAGACTACAACTATATTATTAACCTGCCACTCAATTTCTAGTTTACTGTCCCCCACCCCATACACGCACCCCAAATTCCTGATATGTGGAGGAATTCACTGAGCTAGACACACAGGGACTAGGTGTGCAGAAACCACACTGCTGACACACTGTGACACACACACTCACCCAGGATGCTCATCACCACCAGTATGGCAAACAGGAGGACTGCAATGGCTCCCAGCAGAAGGCGTGTGGTGGTATCTGAGGAGAAGACAAATGGGTCAGTATCGGCTGCCACCCTGTTGCCAGGATCTAACAGCAAGAGCCTTATGGGGTAGAGAAGTGGAGATTCAAGAGTTCTTTGGAAAGTCAGTTGGATGATGTTTTGCTGGGGCAAACACATGAAGGAATGTTTCGTTAAAGTGGACAGAGGTGTGAAAGACTAAGGGAGACCTGTGGAGAAACCTTTTGCTGAAGCAGACACAGGAGAATGTTCTGTTAAGGCAAACACCTGAAAGGAGACGTGATAAAGGATTCCTTGACATTGTGTAGTTGAGTTGCATTTGCAGGCACACCATAGAGAGAAACACACCAAAAACCTTCTGGTGGTATGCTGCGCTTTCTCACCACTTCAAAGAACTCAGGCTGATTAAATGCACGTGCTGAGGCAAGGCACAAGGAGGACACGTGATGTTTGGAGGGCATAAATAGGACTCCACAGAGTGACAGAGCCAGAGCTTGGCTTCCTGGTACAGCTAGCTGTGCAACACTTGGGGTTCTCGTGCCTTCACTGAATTTCGCTTCCCTGAGAGAGGCAGAGCCAAGAACTTCTCCTGGCTTTCCTCCTGGTCCCTCCTGCTGAGTTGAACTGAGGTTGAGGCCTGGCTGTCTCTGCTAGGTCATGTCACCACTGTTACGAACCCAACTCTACTGAACTGGACTGCTGGTGTATCCGTGAAGTGTTTGCAAGTGGATCCAGCTGCCGATGCCTGCTGATCTGTGAACTGAACTGCCCATTTCCAGACAACACAGACAGGAGTTGTTCCAAAGAACCTTTCTAAACAGTTCCATTTCCCCGTTTCCTTTCTTTCCCACTACCTCTGGTGGGTGGTGGGCTACAACGGAGGTTAAAGTGTTTAAGAACTGTTATTGAAAATAGGATTTGATGTCAGGCAGTGGTGGTGCACGCCTTTAATCCCAGCACTTGGGAGGCAGAGGCAGGCAGATTTCTGAGTTTGAGGCCAGCCTGGTCTACAGAGTGAGTTCCAGGACAGCCATGGCTACACAGAGCAACCCTGTCTCAAAAAAACAAAAACAAACAAACAAACAAAAAAAGGATTTGAAAAAATTAAAGTTAGAGGGTAGAACTGAGCAAGGGCTGGAAGCAGCCCTCAGGGTGGCTGTGACGATGCCTGGATTTAAGAGCCACACTCCTAGACCCCAGGTCTGTCATCCCTCCTGCCCCAGCCTTCTTCCATGGCAGTCACAGCTTCCTGACCTAGACACTCCTTTGTCCTATGATGGGATCTCTGCTCCCCAGGTCCTCCTCCTCCACGCAGACCTCCCTGGCATCCTGCCCACCCTATGCACCTGTCAGCTACCCACACCTCCAGGTTTCCAGGTTTTCCTTCTCTAATTTTATTTCCATTTAACATTTTTATCTTTTTTTTTTTTTTTGAGACAGGGTTTCTCTGTGGAGCCTTGGCTGTCCTAGAACTTACCCTGTGGACCAGGTTGGCCTTGAATTCATATGAATCTCCCTTCCTCTGCCATCCAATGACTGGGGTTAAAGGTGTGTGTCACCACTGCCTAACCTAATTTTTTTATCTTAATAAAGGAAGCCTTTTAGAACTAAAACATAGGGTCTTCTTTTTAAGATTTGTACTCTGGTTTGTAGATTTGTACTGTGGTGTGTAGATTTGTACTGTGGTGTGTAGATTTGTACTGTGGTGTGTAGATTTGTACTCTGGTGTGTAGATTTGTACTGTGGTGTGGAGATTTGTACTCTGGTGTGTAGATTTGTACTGTGGTGTGGAGATTTGTACTCTGGTGTGGAGATTTGTACTCTGGTGTGTAGATTTGTACTCTGGTGTGTAGATTTGTACTCTGGTGTGTAGATTTGTACTGTGGTGCGGAGATTTGTACTCTGGTGTGTAGATTTGTACTCTGGTGTGTAGATTTGTACTGTGGTGTGTAGATTTGTACTCTGGTGTGTAGATTTGTACTATGGTGTGTAGATTTGTACTCTGGTGTGTAGATTTGTACTGTGGTGTGTAGATTTGTACTCTGGTGTGGAGATTTGTACTGTGGTGTG